GGGGTGGGGGGGGGGGGGGCGCATCACACCTCCCTGTGGTGTGGAGGAAGGCCAAGCAGGGCCGGTAGAGGGACCTTGGACATGCTCCCTGTGAGGTCCCACTTCCTCCTCTGCAAAATACCCGCCCTCCCAGGACTGCATGAGAAGCCAGTGAGACGGAGGAGGTAGGTGTCCTGCACACAGCAGGAGTTCTGGCTACAGACGGCCCTTCCCAGCACCCTCTGAATGTGCCCAGCTTTCCTGAACACTGAAATTCTCTCCTCCGCCCCAGGTTGGGGCCCAGGCCCTCCCAGCCCTGGGCGGAGCACACAGTAGCTGTTCAAGAAAACATTTGCTGAGCTGGGCATTCTCAGAGCCACAGACCAGGAGACGAAGAGCCCCTGGTCCATCTGGAACCACTCCTTCATTTGAGGAATGTGAGGCCCAGAGACGGGAGGCTGCTCCCGAGGCCACAAAGCCATGAGGAGCAGGGGTGGGGTGGGGAGGGGGCCCCCCCGCAGGCTGGGGTTTACTGGTCTGAGTGGCCACACGCTCGGAGGTGCCGGCTCCTGTAGTACTTGTATCTTAATATGATGACACCACATAAATTAACCACTGACTGAGACGTGAAAACTGGGCAGCCCACCCGTCAGGCTGCTGCCTCGATGCCCCCAAGACCCCTCCGAGCTCCACAGCCCCGAGGGCTGCCCCCTCCCAGGAGCCTGCCTGGGTTTCTCCTTCCTCAGCAGGAGACCCTCGCATCATAAAATGGGCTCATGGCCTCCCAGGGCACGACTGAGAACCAAAGCTCCAGTGCACCCCCTCCTCAGCCCCCCTGTTCCCAACACCCTGGCCAGCCAGCTTGGTTCTGCTGCTGGGCTCTCTCCCCAGACTGTTCTTCCTTCGGGGGCAGCTCAGGGCCCCTCTTGGAGAGGCCTGCACACAGTCTCCCATTCCCCGTTCTACTTTCTTCCCAGCTGGCCACCTTCTGCGGCATTTCGTTTACTGTCTGTCTCCTCCAAGGTCTGTCAGCTGTATGAGGGCAGGGGCAACGTCCGCCCAGCATGCTCACAGCCCAGGGTCCCCAAAACAGTGGGAAGGGATTGCCTGGGGAAGACATGACAGGTGTGCAGGCCGAGGCCCTTTGTCAGGGGTGCTGCGGAGACATGATGGCAGGGAGAGGTCAAGAAAGTGACAGCCTGCGAGCTGCCGGCCCTGCGCTCCCCACGTCCCCAGGCACCTGCAGGCCCCGGGCTGACCCTATGGCATCGATCTGAGGAGCGCAGAACTTCAGGAATGGAGTGCAGCCCTGGAAACAGGACACTGAGTCCCGCCCACCCCGTCAGGAAGCAGGCATCGATCTCAGCCTGGAGCTGGCCGGCTGACGCTTCCCTCCTGCACGGGCTCAGCAGGCGGCCTCCTCCCCGCACCCCTGGAGCTGCAGCTCTCTGGAGGCCAGGGGGCAGCCCCGGGGTGAAGGCCACTGGATCCGTTAGGCGGGTGCTGTCCTGGCTGGGCCACTCTGGAGGCATCAGTGGTCCACATTCTCCCACTGTTTAAGCCCCTCTCCTGAGAACCTTACCCACACCTACCCATGCCCTCTACCATCTGCTTGCTGGAGGGATGTCTGGGACCACAGCCGGCCCAGGATGCAGGTGACCCAGGCCTGGCTGTGAGCTTTACCGTGATTGGTTGGGGGTGTGGACATGTGGTCAAAGCCAGCCAAGGGGAACGGGCCCTAAGACTTTGGCTGGATCAGCTGGGAAAGGCACTCTACGCCCAGCGGCTGCTGGGGACACCTTTGCCCCAACGTGGGCTGAGCCCACCTGAGAGGACCCCCACCCAGAGGAAAGCAGAGGTGAGGGTGCAAGAAACGGACTCCAGACACGGCCTACGGGGCCCTTATATCCATCCCTGAACTTCGAGTTTTGCAACGGCAATAATCCCTTTGGTAACGTGAGAGATTTTTGAGGTGGGTTCTACGACTCCTCTCCACGCCCTCGAGGGGTTGCCGGTGGATGTAAGGAGGCCAGCACGGCCTCCACGAAGCCCCGCAAACTTCCCGAACCTCTTTTCTCTTCCTTGGCAGCACGGTGAGGGTAAAGGACTT